GAGCGGCTCATGCCGCCGCTGACCGGACAATCACGACGCCGCGCTAAGGCCATTCTCCAGTTCTTCGTGCGAGAATCCGGAGGACAGTACACTTCATCTGATGGAGAACTGTGCACTTCTGGACGATGCCAAAAGAGCGACGAGGATGAGCCCACTGGGATTCAGACAGACAGAGGATTCAGCACCTTATCGAATTTCAAAGACTCTTATCTTAGTGCTCCTCTGTCACGCATACACTGTGTGTAAATGGCTGCTTGATCATCAGGCTCGCTTTGCATTCAGCAAGAACTCGCGATCGGATGAGGTCTCGCAGTTTTTCGACTTCATCCGTGGCGTCACGCTATCACGTGTGTATAGCACCACCACAGCAAACACGTGGAGTTCAGCGTGCCACATCTTGCGATAGGTGACCGCTATGCGGATCAGCCCCGCTGTACCGGTGTCATGTTCCACTGAGGGTCTCATGATAGACTCACTGTAGCCCTGTCAGCTGACAACAAGGGGTAGTTGCGAAGGTTTGTCTCGCACGATGAGTGAAATCTGAATGGATTGAGTTCAAACTAATCCAATATAGCCTCCGGTTGGATCGGGACATGTTAGGCTCCACGTCTCAAATGCAGAGTTTTCTGCGTGACGCAAGCATGCGTGAAATCTTTCAGATTGTTCCTCGAGAGTGGCGGCGGTTTCGACATGTCTCTCCCTGAGATTCCCGTTCGTTAGAGTTGATTGTACTCGATGCGTTACATCCTCCTCCTCGTCATTGTCAGCATCGCGGCTTACTTTAGTGAAGCGGGTCGACTCGGCTGTCCTCCATCTTCGGAGACGAAGAATATGGCAACCTATTCTTGGAGGCAAGCCTACTGGACTGGTCAGGATACGACCTTCCTAGACTTTTTCAAGTCCGACGTGAGTCGAAGGAGTACAACCGTGGTGATGTTTACCTCAACGTGGCCGATGCCTCCAACGTGGGCAAGATTATCCACCCTGAGAGACTGGCCGAGCTCATCGCCAACTTCCGCAAGGTCAGCGGAAACTCTGCAAGGTTCTATCTTTTCTATGCTCAAGGTGGTGGCAACGATAAGAAATGGGCCCCCGATTTCGTTCGTGTCTTTAAGGAGTTCATCCTCAAGTACGGCAACCCTGATATGGGTAGTCTCGGTATCAGCTTCCAAGTCAAGCTTGATCTTGCTACGTGGTACAACATATTTGATGCTTTCGATGCGCTCAAGACTGACCCACAGTTCAAGCCCTACAACATAGCCCTTGATGTTACGATGAACTATTACAACACTGACAGGAGACTGGTGGACCAGATTATGTTCAGGGCTGATCACGTTACTCTGCTTACCTTCGCCAACACCTCCCCGCGACTTATCAACTTTTTCGTAGTCTTCCTGACCAAAATTTGTCCCAACTGTAACAATAACTACTATCCCAATTACAAGGCTAAGATCACTTTTTTGGCCGAAGGTGATTGCAACTCGGGAGCCTGTAGTAAGACGTCGATGTGTGCTTACTACGTGATCGCCTTGACAACCCCAATGGAGGTATCCTCTACGCTTACAAATTGTAAGTTACATCAGCTTTCGACTGCTCTCGACTGTGT